AGCCAGTGACTAAAGGAGGATTCAAATCTAGGTGTGTGGGATTCCGAAGTCTAGGCTTTTACAACGTGCCTAACGATTAATTCCAAATGGATTACACTCTTTTTAATTCATTGATGTTTTAGGTGGTAGGAGGTGGGGGTTGGGGGGTCAAGGGAAGGAGAGACAAACTCAAATTCTAAAGCAAACCACTCAGAACCATTTTTTGCCTTTCTCAGTTTTTGATTTTCTAATAACCCGTACCTTTGGAAAAGAACCATGTTCTTCAAGCTTAGTATTTTTATGAAGTCTGTGGGTTATAATAATTCTCATCAATTTGAAGGTATAAATGACAAATTATTTACCATCCTAGAAAACCAGATTAAGTTCACAAACTCAGGTGGCTCTGAGTTCCTTTCACTGTTACAATAAAGCAGTTCAGAGAAAGATAAATAGAATAAAATTATTCCTTTTGGAAAAATATAAAAGTTTCATAAAAAATCTGTTTCTAGCTCGTCAGTATGGAATTTGTCATTAATCATTTTAAACTATGCCCTTTTATGCTGCTTCTGTCTCTTTTAGCTTTCTGAGTAGGTCTTTGATGTAACAAAGACAGTTTCAGACAAGATTTCAGTTCATCTGGAAAAAAAAGGTTTAAGTCTGGAGGCAAAATGCAGTGTATTTAAAATTTATATACTCTATAATGCCTTTGTTCTGAACTTGAAGATCCTGAAAAACTTCTAAGCTTCTTTGCCTTCCTCCTCTAAGCTCATTTGTTCTTCCCTTGCTTATTATCATGCAACTGTGACTTTAATGGAGGGGGGGCGGTTTCCATCCTTTAACTACATGCAGAGTCATGGCTGACCCTTTCTGATCAATTGCCAATCCATACAGGTTTGACTGATAAAAGAGCCAATTAGATTTAAGCAAATTAAGGGACATCACCAATGTCAACCACTTATTAAACTGAATGCTGAATTCCATGCATACAAAACACTAATGCACTGAGCCCCATTAAGAGTTGAAATCCTAACCCCATTAGTAACTCCAGACCTTGAAGGGGTAAAGGTCACAGGAAAGTTTCATATTTATGGATTAACATTTGGATTCCGTTTTTATTTTTTTAATTTTTTTTCCTAGAACTCTTGAACCTTCACTATAATGCTATTCAAGAGCTCAGATTAAATATATTCTTCATTTCTATGAGTATCCTAGTGCTAAATATGAGCATTATGTTATTACAAACAACCAAATAATATAGTCATTGTAGAAATACAAAAACCTGAGCATGGAAGAGGTTAGAGATATGCTACAGAAATGAAGGAATAATAACCCCCAAGACTCTTCCAGTTGACCAAATAATCTTTCAAACGAATTTTTAAAATAAAAAGTGTGTGCGATTTGGATTTGCCAATGTGCATTTTTGTGCTGAGCTCTTGGTTCCACGATCCCACTTGCCTTAATTTCCAGCTTCAAAATAACTTGTGTTTATCAGATTGTTTAATCATATTCCTTTTTCTGCTTGTTTAGTTGAAGTCGAGAGCCTTATTTTTTTTTTAAAATAAAATTAATTTTCTTAACACAAGAGCAAGGAAACAGGGAAATGTGATGGAATTAACTAGGATTTGAGATTAGGTCTTGTTTGACTGTTTTTTTTTTTTTAAAGATTTTATTTAGTTATTTTTATTTGACAGAGAACACAAGTAGGCAGAGAGGCAGGCAGAGAGAGGAGGAAGCAGGCTCCCCGCTAAGCAGAGAGCCGGATGCGGGGCTCGATCCCAGGACCCTGGGATCATGACCTGAGCCGAAGGCCGAGGCTTTAACCCATTGAGCCACCCAGGCACCCCTGTTTGACTGTTTTGTTTTTTTTTTTAATTTTTTCCAGCTTTAGTGAGGTATAAACTGCATTTCCATCATTATTCTTTCTCATCAGAAAAATAGAAACATAGAGAAAGGTGGTATCAAATAAGGCATTTCATAACCATTCTGTTCTACACTTACCTAAGTAACCACCATAGAGAGGGAGTCAAAGAGCAGTGAGTTTGAGCAATTTGAGAGTATTTCTTATATCTGATGCCCTGTCCTCCTTACAGTCTGGGGTCCTTGTCACATGGGCATGACCACAGTATCCCTACACTGGACAACAGTGTGCAGAGGGGGTCAAATTCTCCATAGCTGGTTACAATAGAAGGTTGCTCAGATAGAAGACAAGGCATGAACAGGCTTGAGCAAGAGAAGCTTACAATTTAAAACTCTTAATCAAGCTACCTGGACTGACTGACTGATTGATTCTTTCACTCACCGATTATTCATTATGCAATTATGATGCACCAGGTTTGGTCTAGGCACTGAAGATCAAAATGTGAATACAAAACAGTCCCTGCTGTGGGGGGGTCTTATAACCAGTGATTGTGACAGTTCCATCAGACAGGCCATTTCACTATAACATAATTGTATTCTAGGACACCTAGGGGCCCTATATCAGCCTCAGTTGGTAAAAGACAACTTTCTGAAGGACCTATTTCGAAGTTGAAACCTTAAAAATGAGTAGGACTTGGCCAGATCTAGGGGGTCAAGGCAGTTTTCCAGACCACATTTGATAGCAAACATTTCACCAAGAAAAAAATAGCATGTCTATTTTGCCTAAACCTTCTATTATTATATTTTTCAGCTATACTAAGAAGAAAACATAGCTAAGGGTATTATCATTACAAATCTTGCATAATCCAGCAGTGAGAGAGAGCAGGAATTCCACATCACCAAAAAAGAGACTTAATATTTGAATCAAGGAAACGGCAAAAAATGGTAACAATCCAAATATAATGGAAAAGTAAATAGCATACAGAACCTTCTCTGCCCATAAGTTGGTTCACTTCTGTACATCGGTTCATTTATTATTCATTTCAGTACAAAGCACAGTTCACTGGATAAAGGCATGGAAGATTTCTTTAATAACTCTCAGTACTAATTTAATTCTACTTAAACACACATATTCTAGTGAATGCCACATGCTTTTCAGCATGATTTTATGTGTAAATCAGGATAATATGTTTTCAGATCATTAAGTAAAAGGAAGCATGAACTAAAACCTATTTAATCAATGAGGTGTCACCTTTAAACTGCCACAAGGTCATAAAAAAGATAATTTCAAAGCTATAAGTTTCCTAATTGTAATCAACAACAATCTAATGATAAAAAAAAAAAGTATGTCTTAATGGCTACAATAAACTTGAGCAAATCAATGTCTTTAAAGACATTTTGCTTCCTCTTTTGGTGAAGGGCCATCTCCCAAATTCTGGATTTCTGAGTTGAGAAAGTCAATAATTACATCATGCCCAGAGACTATGAGCCTGCAGAAGGCATGATAATAGCATGAATAAGCATCCACAGAGTAGACATAAAAGTAAACTCAGCAGTTGACTTCAGTTCAACTGTATGGCTGGAAAGAAAATTTTAGTTTCTTCCTGTTTGCATAATATTAACTCTTCTACTAACCACTGACAGATACAGGCACAGATTGTATACTGAGTTAGCATGAGAAGCTTGCTATGTTTAAGTGAATTGTATATAAACATGCACCCAGAGATATTTACTCTAAATTATTAGGCATTCCTAAGTGCATGAACAATGAATTAAATTGGTCCTATTTTATGAATATGATTTAACTTGCTGTAAATTACAAACCATCTAAATCAGTATGAATGCCATAAAAGGAATCTATAACTCATTAAATTCCCACATATCCTGTTAAGAAGGTATTGCTATGTAATTTAAAAATCTCCATTAAGGCACTAATTACTGTTTAATTTCTAAGTCTGAATAAAGGTTATTATATACTAAGGTATAGAGTCATTAAATGTTCTATCCTTTCCAGTATGTTGGGTTAAATTAAAAAATGAAGATATGAATGCCTAAGGTTTCTTTTCTTGATTTTGTTTTGTTTTGGTTTTTTGGTCTCAATTCTTAAACAAGCCCCTATCTAAATCCAATGTCCTTTTTAAAAAAAAAAAAAAAATTTTTTATTGGTTTATGAAATGTGACAGTGAGTCGTTCAGCTCTGTCTCTTCCAAGCATTCTTAAACAATGTGGCTTCTGCCATTTAGAGTTTCAGGTGTTTTGGTAAACATCTATTCATTAAGTCTTATAATGTCACGAAAGGTAGATAACAGTGAGTGGTTTTAATGATAGAGCAGGTATTAAATCTTTCCTTGAGAGAAGCGTTCTATACAAACTACAAATTAACTCTTCATTGTCCTCTCCTGAGGAGGCTTTTGCTGCTCTTAAACCCTTTGTGATGGGAGAGGTATTTATCCAGTCCTGCTGCTTAACGACATAGCGACATTCTCCCTTAGTCCAGAGACACTGGTTTTTGAAGCTGAGCTACAGTCGGATGTTTTAGAGTCCTTTGTCTTTTGTATTTTCAGAGAACAGACATTCCTGAACACCCAGTTGAGAATCACGCTCTTATTATTTTGAGGCATGCTTTGTTCAAGGGCTGTCCTTACCAATCTAACAGGGAGTTTTCTTCTTAGCAGTTAGTCACACAATTGGTTAAAATAAGGGTGGAGGTGACTGCAGATCAACATAATAATTCTAAATAAGTTAAATCAGTTATTTATACAGATAGTTAAAATAAAAGTATCTGGATTTTTATCACATTTCCCGTATAAAAGTGATACTATTGAACTCTAATCATTAGGGCGTGGAAGTTAAAGGTGCTTTTCCAGTGGTGTGAATAGCTTTCCCTTTCCATTTGCTGCACACACATGCAAAGCAAGAGATACATATGTATGATATATACCCGTACATACACACAGTGCAAGATGAAAGCAGTCTCAACAGAACAAAAAAAATCAGTAAGAGGGTCTCAGTCAAACAAAACAATAACCCAAACAACCAGAAATACAATTGAGCCTCTAAGTTCTAAAAAAAAAATTAATTTTCACAATAATGAAGCACTCAGGGGAGACTTATAGTAGAGCAGTTATATAAATCTATGTAGCCAATGTTGTTCATGGACTTACCCCCGGGTGGCATTGCCAGGGTTAAGGGGTCACTCATCAAGCTGCCTTGGCTATTTGAAGCATTCACTTGCACAGTATAGTTAGTAAAAGGAACCAGCCCCTCAATGAGTACCCAAACGTTGGTCTCTTCACTGCGGTGCATGACTTGTGTGCCATTCAGAAGAGTGTAGTTATTAACTGCTGGTAAAAAGGAAAATTATGAAAATTAGTGTATATTTAAGAGTTCATTCATTCATCCGTGATCAAAATAACTGAACTGTTATTCTAAGATGGCGTGCAGCTGTTCACAAGTATCATGCATGCAAGGACAACTCAGACACAGACACAGTAATTGATTCCATGATGGATTATTTACAATTGTTTGAGGGTTTTCTTCCCCCACCCTTGGATTTTTTTTTAAGATTATATTTATTTATTTGAGAGAGAGAAAACACATGAGTGGGGGAAGGAGCAGAGGGAGAGAGAGAGAGAATCCTCAAGGAGAGTCCCCCCTGAGCTCAGATCCAGACATGGGGCTTGATCCCAAGACCCTGGGATTGTGACCTGAGCAGAAGGCAAGACACTTAACTATCTAAGCCACCCAGGCACCCCCATTCTTGGATTTTATACGATATGCAGACTGGAGGAAATCACACTCTTTCCTCGCCATCTAGAATGGTTCTGGATATAAATAGTATATTTATGAGGCAAATTTTTCAGAATATTGCTGAAATTTAGTAAAATTTAGTTATCATTATGCCTAAAACACAGGAGTTGTTAACAATAGTTCTATTTACCTCAAATAGCCTTTTTTCTTTGCCAAAACAAAAAAATTTATTATTTATTTATTGTATGTCCCTTTAATTTCCCCCACACAGATTCTACAAACATAGGCAAATGAATAAAAAACACAGATGGTGCTGGACTTTAAGGGGAAAGCATATTTGCAAGATTTCCAGATAATGATACAATCTTTACTGGTTAAATGTGAAAAAATTAAAATATGGCCACATACCAATAATGATCTTGCACTGTATGATAAACAGAATAGTTGTAATAGTTATCAAAAATACCATATTTTGGACACGGTTTTATAGCAGAATATGGTGCAAAGAAAAGTACATGCATTTGATTGTTAGAAAGTTCTGCATTTGAGCCTATCCTTATCATTCTTGAGGAATGTGCTCTTTGCTAAGTTATTCAGTATGTCTGAATCTCATGTTTTTCATCTGAGAGTGGGGAATGATAATACTTTGATTGCAATGTTACTATGAAGATTAAATGACATCATTTCTTTACATTACCCAGCATATAATAGGTATTCATCTACAGCAACTAAGAAGTGTAACTGTTCTTGCTATAGTACAACTGATACATTACAAACAAAACATTTATAAACAAACTAATACATACAAAACAAACATTTACAACTAGCAAGTGATAAAGAATTCTACACTCTGTATTTTACTTCCTCTGTAGCAATTAGTCTTCTATTACATTTTCCCTCTCTCCCACCCAACAATGTATATGAATCAAAATTCAATGTTTTTCAATGAACAAAACAACATTAATCACATCTGCTACCCCTAGGTCATTGTCCAATCATGTTATACATCAAACTCTATAATTAATAAGGAATCAAATGACGTGAAAGAGGATCTCACATCTAGTTATGAGCATTTTCATGAAATGTGGGTAAGGCAGACAAAAACTTTAAAAATACACAAAAAACTTTAAAAGATACTTAAAATAGTTTTGGGAAGAAGGATGTAGCTGAAAAAAAATTATTGCTGCAAAATACACAGGTGTAAGTTAAATGTTTCCCATGACCAGAAGAAATCCCTAGTGTCATGCAAGAATTTATTGCTCTGAACTTGAAATTGGCACAACGGGGTGGTTTATTCCCAAGGGAATAAATGTACTTATGGGCTAAAACATGAGGATAATAATTTCTATTCAGTTTTAATAAAATAAGATAAAGATATGTTCACTGCTTAAGAATTGTTTTAAGTTCCTAAAATGGAAATAGATACCACAGATAGATCTATGTGGAGCACATACCAACAAGAAGTTCTGAAACCTGAAAAGTTGCCTTGAAAAGACATTTCCAAATGACACTTTATTAGCTCTCACAGGTTCTTTGTAACTAGTCAACCTGATTAGACAGATTATTGACTCCAACTGCATGCAGAGAGCAGGCTTTGCTAGGTTCTGATAACAATACGCTCAAGATGTACAAGACGTCGCTCCTGAACTCAAGAAACCTGGTTCAGATTTACTATGAATCCATTGTAAGCACTGTTGAAGAAAAATTACATTATCCACATTTGAAGACCTCAAGTCCCATAATGTCTAACTCCTTGGGAGAATTTTCAGTTATAGCTGAAACAATTGCTGCTGTTGTCACATACCCAATTGTAAAATTTCAAAAAGGTCAGCTTTATCCTGAAAGACCCAGGTAGATGCCTAATTGCCTCTGAAGTAGTATAACAGCACATACCTTACAAAAAATTGAAGACTACAAAATAACAATGAGAATTCTAAAATTAAGCCAGGAGAACACGATTTTATAAAATTTCAAGCCAGGTGCAAATGTAAGAACAAAGAGTTAACATCTAAGATTATAGTATTGGTAAGAGTTTTTTTCCCTTATATTTTGTTTGTTTCTGAAGCAAATTTCTAGCTGTAAAACAAACAATTTTGCTATCTTTGAAAATGGCATGGCAGGGCAAATATATTAAATACCACTCTATTCTAAGTTTCTCAGATAACATTAATACATGGTAATTATACAATTAGTTGTAACATTAAGTTCTAGTTATAGAACAATGATTACTCAGTAATTATAAGAAGTACATAATTACTCAATAATTATGAGAAGTATGCAATTACATAACCATTTTGTTCAGCTCAAAAAAGAACTTGTGTATCTCCAGGAACCACACAGCTGAGTGAGTCCAGTGCTCCCTTACCCCGCTCACATGCAGCTCCATTCATAAGCCTGGAGCAACCGTCAGGATTTCAACCCTCGGCGAGCTCACAAATCCCCAGATTTAAAACCAAAACCGGATCCACAGATTTTGTCTCTGTCTCCACTTTATTCTTCTCTTTCTTCCTTTGAACTGGACTGGTTTGAGTTCTGTGATCCTGGGGGAAAATTCTTAAAATTCAAGTCCTCAGATCCCCTCTGCCACCCTGCCTCCCCACTCTTGAGAGGGTCTCCCTTTACTGCTTTTCGCTGCATAAACTTTGTTTTCAGTCGGCTGGAAAATGCAGCCCCGTTGGTTCAGCTTCAAGAATCAAGCTAGAAAATGCTAAAATGATAAGCATTTCCTATCATAGGTGGCCATTTCTGTCTGGTCTCCCTTAGCGCTGACCCTATTTGTAAGTATAAGTGGACGGTGAAGGCCCTGGAACCACAACTCGCTGTCACCCTGCCACCAGGCACTAAGTCTGAAGTCAAGTTCCCCTCATCCACCTCTTCAGGTGCGGTCTGCACCACTGGGCTTTAACCTGGGGGTCACACTAAGCACTCTGCAGACGAGGTCATCACACTAGTGTTCCAGGGGCCACCTACATCAGAGTCACCTGGGAATACTTCATCAACATCCACAGAGCTGAGTTCCACTCCAGACCTACCAAATGAGACTGTTCGAAGGCAGGGCCCAGGAATCACTGGTGATTGTTCTTAAGCATGCAGAAAAACTCATTTTAGGATTATTTAATCTACGTTCAAGCTAGTCTTTAAAGTAATGATCCAAATTCATCTTGTCTGTTTCCCAAAATACTTAGGTCACTTTTGACATCCTTGTTGATGATGCCTTTAGACTGTAGCTTTGGGCTATAAAATCTTTATTTGTGAAATAATGCATCTTCAGAACATATAAAGTGGATTCTTCAACCAGATCTACCTTTACAAACTAAAAAAATCTAGTAAATTATTTCATAAGAAATAGTTAAGTATTTATAAAAATAATTTTTAAAATGAGTAGTCATTTTGCACACCTGAGAAAAATCACTTCAGTATTTCTGATAAGTACTTCTCTCTCTCCCTTTCAATCTCACCACTGCAGATACAGGGGAAGGAGAGATCCTTTGTATATTGTCCAACATCATGCCTCACAAGCAAAAAACAATAAGTAGTTTTGGTTAGATTCCTAAAATTTTCAAATAAACTCCTAGATGCTCCCTCAGGACACTCTACATCCTAAAGGATTTTCTAAGAAGTTAAGTCATTCAGGCCTACTTTTCTACTTTATTTTGAAGAGAAAAGTGTTAAATTGAGAAACAGCCAACATAAATCTATACCCAACAGACCTTAATTGTAAAAAACATTTTCTTAGCTGCGGATATGAAATCTTACCCAAAAAATGTTAATAGCAATCATGCCCATTTTTTTAAGGCTAAAATCTTACATTTAATGTTATTTGTTGAATAGTAGGATATTTTCCGTATAATTATTTATTTTTTTTAAGCAAAAACCAGCGTAAATAGACACGTATGATCCAGGGAGGCGTAAATGATTGCTGTCTCAGGAATATCGTCCTATGGGGTTCTCCAGATTGATACAACATAAATGGGTATCCTTTCCAATTCTTGTTATAATCATTGTCACAAGAATTTTAATGCACCATATATTCCATAATTTTTTTTTCCTCTGTGCTGTACTGCTCTGACCTTTTCAATATTCTATAATTTGACTGGCTGGCCATTTCGGTTCTCTCCTTTTTACAGCCTTATTAACTTGTGGGAAAGAGGTGAAATGAACAACCAATCAGAATACATAATATTGCAAAGGTCAGCGTAGTCTTGTACAGTATCATCACACACAGAAGTCTGTATGCCAGGCATTAACATCCTGATATCTTATTCATGTGACAAAGATTGTAACAAGAACAGAAAATGGCACAACATGAATCCATTCTCATGACAAAGATTATAATGAGAAATGACAGCGAACAAACCAAACTGATTCTTGTTACCTTGTGAGGATTTTCCATGTCAGCCCTGGTCCTGCTTTAAGTTAGCCTTTTTCTGAATCCAATTACACCTGAAGGTAGGAAAGGTGTTAACTAATTTCCCCACTTCTTGCTGTAAAAAGAAAATGCGATATTTCCCTGATATTGAGGTCTCAATTTTAGTGTTGTTCGGCTCTGTCTCATTATCACAGAATTCTGCCAATCCCCAAATCAAAAGACATA